CATTGATGTCGTTCCGTGTTTCCAATGAGTTTCGATGAAAAAATGATTTGGTTGGTGAGTTGGTCAAGTTTTGCATTTCCCCATGTTTAAGTCTCCAAATCTATCTTGGCGTGCATTTCTTTTCTTTATCAATTGGTATTATAGTTAAAACAAAAAAAAAAAAACCCTGCTATTCTAACGATGAACAGATAACATTTTAGCTCTGACATCAATTAATGAAGAAGTTCGACACAACGTCGTTGTTTTTACAATAGCCTTTTCATTAACAGTTTGAATCGTTTATTAGTTTAATCTCGATAACAAGTGAGTGACGTAAACCAACTTCAAGAAGCGGTCCGCACCCGGCATAAGGATTTGGTTCTTTAACTAAGATATAAAATAGACCAATTTTCAAATAGAAACGAGCCGGAACTAAACGCCCTAGAACCGACTGGTTCGGTTCCTTAGAAACAGATAGTCACGGAGTCGATTTCCATTGGGAAACCGACCCGGTTCGAAATCGATCTCCCTTAATTTCAAGAGAACGCATGACCCAAAAAAAACAATTTCAATGAACCGCCCCCCATTTCAACAAAAGCAAAAGCGAAGGCCAGCAGAGATGACACATCATCTGCCGTGTTCGGCCACCGCGCGGGGCCCGCGAGATAGGGAGGAAGGATAAGAATGACGATGATGATGATGATGGGTGGTGGTGATTGGTTAGGGGGGAGGGTGGGTCCCAGCACGCGTGGGGCCCGGGTTGGGCAAAGTCTTTTTATTATGAAAAAAACGTAGCCTCCCCTTGACCTAACCATACCTTGCGGTACACTTCTGTTGAAATAGAGCCTCGCTTGAACTCAAAGCATGTGAGGCTGGTAGAGAGATTGTCTTTTGAGTAATGAGGTCCAACTAATTGAGATTGCCAACTTGAAATTGGCCATTGGTCCCTAGTGTTTAAGATTTCGCATTTTCGGCCTCGAGAGGCATCGTCCGGTTAGTCTCGGCCGTCCGATTAGGGCTGCGAATGGAGGAGTCGGAACGACCGAGTATAAGAAAGTCGTGTGACGATAGATGCTTGTTTGCTCTGTTTCTGTTGGGATGACTCGACATTTGCTCATCAGACTAAAGACATTATCGATTCGTTGTAATGGCTGTAGTGCTACAGGAAAAGATGATTAGGTCTCATGCGGGAAAAGTGTCAAAAAAGTCCTAAACCTTTTGCATTTGTGTCAATTTAGTCTTAAACCTTTTTTTTGTGCCAATTCAGTCCTAAACCTTTTGCATTGGTGTCAATTCAGTTCTAAACCTCCTTTTGGTGCTAATTCAGTTCTAAACCTTTTGCATTGAACACATGAATAGCTATTAGCCGGAAAAACTGAATTGGCACCACTGTAAAAGGTTTAAGACTGAATTGGCACAAAAAAAAGGTTTATGACTAAATTGGCACTAATGCAAAAAGTTTAGGACTGAATTGGCACTAATGCAAAATGTTTAGGACTAAATTGGCACAAATGCAAAAGGTTGAGGACTGAATTGGCACAAAAAAAAGGTTCAGGACTAAATTAGCACCAATGCAAAAGGTTTAGGACTAAATTGGCATAAATGCAAAAGGTTGAGGACTTTTTTGACACTTTTCTCGGTCTCATGCAATACGAGCTCATTTGGTGCTTGGTGTATAGGCGCTAATATACGTTTCTATTATAAAGTCAAAGTGTGATTATTGATCGTCTAAGGAAAATATCTTGCATCGCTAATTTGGAAAGGAAAAGAAAAACAAATTCTCGTTTTATTCGGCTCGGTCAATGCCCCCAACTCCTATCTACAATTCCAATAGTTGATTAGCAATTGATGACCAAACTTATGTGGTGGCAAGCAATTCTTCGGTCCGATAACTCGAAGCCGACATGTCGATGGTTAACAAGACACCCGTGGGAAAACAATCAATCCGGAAAAAGGCCAAAATTCGAGAGAAACTCGTTCTTCCCACGTTTACATCATCCCTACCGACCATTCTACACGACGATCTCCGGTTCCAATCATCGTTTCGGGAACTTATCCTAGCACGCCACGAGGCCCTAAATCGGGACCGACTCAGACCCGCTACCCCCGGTTCGGAGCAAGAATAAAACTCCGACCATCACAGGACCACACGCGACTTAAATGTGTGCGCATCACCTAAAAACCCGTAGTAATGTCCCTTTCTTTGCCCATAGATTCTCCATGGACACCCTTGCAAAAGCCGGGCAATTAATGCCCTGAATCTCCATGGGGTCCAACTTCTTTATAAGGTTATTCAATTTGGGAACTACTGGGGAGTCTCCTCTTCTGGACCACCTTCGAAGCTCTACGAAATAGGCGTTTTGGTAAAGTTCCACGCATCATCATATGATTAATTTGATTATGACTCTCCATTTGCGGTTGGAATGGAGGGTGGTTGGCCGAGTTATTCCTTCATTACTAGGCTTGGGAGAGACATTGATGATTAGAATGGTCGATTGGCCCGAACACGGCGAAGAGCAAGATCGAGCCCGTTGTATCCGGTGTTCCGGTCGGGTAGATCTTTGGAAATGCGCGTGATTGAACTCGCTTCTTGAATCGTTTCATGACGATTTAGCGTGTTTGTTCGATGGATAATTTATCGAGAATCAATTTACTAAAAATGGAACATATAAGAGATTACTCTGAATGTTGTGCTTTTGTTTTCATCGTGCATCTTCAAAGATCTGTCTCTTTGCAATAAGAGAGGAGAAAGACTGGGATTGGACCCGGATGGGCAAGGTCCCAAATTGGACCCAAATGGGAGCGGACGAGAGCAGCTATCGCTTGGCCGCCCTCGAGTGGACTCTCGATTGCTTCTCCGGCGCCTCGCGAGCCGAGGCAGCCCTACCGCGTCATCATGGTCCTCACCGAGGCCCTCACCTTCCTCGGTCCTTGAGATCTCCGGCCTCGGTGCGATCGCCGTCCTTCCATGTTTCGCCACGCGTGCATTACCGCATCGATAAAATTCCGGGGGATAATCTGCCCGTTTTTCTAAAAAGGAAATAATTTCACGCATTGCTTTTGCAAGGTGATTTTCAGATTAACTCTGGATTTGAGTCGCTACACAAGTAAACACAATGTGATTACTAACATTCCATGACTAAATGGTGAGTTTTCTTTATACTTCCTATTCTACTTAGGAAGTGATTGAACGGATCAATATTCTCGTCGGAAAAAGCATCGAAAATGTCTGAAACTTATTGCATCGGTACTGATTTAGTTCTAAACTTCTCGATTGGTTCACCTTTTCTCTTGGTACCAATTGAGTCTATTCGGCCAATTGGGGCAAGAAATTACTGATATGGACGCCAGCCGTCCTATATGGCTACGTGGCACAGCTGACACTGATATTGACATTTTTTTTTCGTATAATTTTTAGATAATTTTTTTGAATCTTTTTCTTCCATGGCCCAAAAGTCGAAACTCTCTCTCTTTCGCAAGCTTAAAAACCTCAAACACATTCCCTACTCTTCAAAGCAAAAACCAAGACTTGACATGGAGATTTCTACAGTTGCTGCAGAAACTTTGGCCTCCCCAGATGCTGTTTTCAAAAGTTTAAACGAAACCGAAGATGCCAAAATCGAGTACGGGGCAGTTCGTGCAGAAAGTGATCACAAGGAAGAAGGTGATGGGAAGTTGACGTCTGAAGAAAACTCTATATGTTGGTTTTTTTTTCTTTTTTCGTCGAATGTTTCGATTTCGGTGTGCTGTGATTTCAATTTCTACAGTGCGATGTGCGAGCTATTGGTTTTGTTTTGAGAGGGAGGGAGGGGAACGGAAGATGAGAGAGAGGCTTGCGTTGGAAACTTTGCATGCCGTAAGGCTTCGTCATACAATAGGGAGCTTCACAATTCAGATCATAGAACTATCGAATTGAAAGGCTTATGAATGAATGAGTAAATATCTCGGATCTTTAGAGTAGGGTTCTGTGTACCAAAAAAGGACTTATATTGCATTTTAGATGGAAGACACATCTTGATAGAAGCTCTCCTCAGTGTTCACCGAATTATATGATTAGCTTGATGGGAACAACAGAAGCAGTTGTTGCATATTTGAGCTAGTTCATCATTGGGTAAAGATAATGATGTTGTTGAAATAGAGAGGACTCACTTTGCTCGAATGTCTTAAAGCAAAGCAGAGCCCTCTTTCTCACTGTAGGTAAGCTAAGCTTGGGCATTGGAACCTTTCTCCTAGCCACAGAATGGCTGGACAGTTTTTAATGCAAGAACTCCCGCAACTCTTAGTTGAAGACAGGCTCGTTCGGCCTCTCAGCCTGGATGGAAATTGAAACTCCGAAACAGCCCGAAACCTCATTAGGCAGACCTATCCTAAGGTCGACTATGCAGGCATCATTAGGAGCAAATGGAATGCTCCCCAAGCATAGTATTATCGCCTGGATGGCCCTCACCTCCGGGCTTCTTACAGCAGATCGAGTTAGCAGATTTTATCCCAATCCGTTTTGTGGAATGAGCTAGTTTTTCATTTGTATGAAGAGAACGGAGGCTCTCCATTTTCCGGATCTTTTGTACATCTTCCGTGCTCGAATGCCCTGATACCATCTTGAGGAGCTCACTTTGCTCTCTACCATATTTCATGTAGAATCTAGTAGCGAGAATCGTTACACATGCTATTGTTTTATGAGCTATGCAGACCATGAAAGATTGGAATGATTGTTATAAACAATCGCTCATCCCTTAAATCATCCACAGCATGATGTATTTTCTTTACCTCCGCTTGCGAACTGAGGCCATTAAGTATCAACATACCGTCCTCACAGCAGGACAGTGGAATCAAATCATCGACCAATGCACCTTGGCGACCTCAAGCAGATCGCCATGAAGTGGGTTCGAATCTGATCCATGCTGCAGTCAATTAAACAGAGAGAATCTAATTCCAATTCTCTTCCGACCACACACACCTCTTCTGCTGCCAAGAGATGTTCAAGACGAGAAAAGCAAGACCACACGATACAAATTGGGGACGACCGTACAGAATCTACGAGTATAATATCGAGTGGTATGTAAAAGTTAATCAAAGAGGAACTTTCAAAGAAACGACACAGCAAACCACGAGAGTAACATTCGATCAAAACGCCAGGCTTATTGAAGCCGTGAGTCATCCGATACAAAACATCCGAAATAATGTCCTTCAATCAATAGCTAAAACTACAGATAACATAGGTTGACTTGGCAGCATCGCCCACTTTCTTAGCACTTGATTTCCTTCAGGCCGTGACCAAAGTACAAAAATGTCGGGTCGGTGGCACCATCCTTGTAGTAAGCAAATACCAGACTGCCATCATCATGCATGCTCTCGCCAACAAAGCTGCAAGAAGAAAACATGACAATCGCACAATTAAGAACCCGGCAGTAGTGGAGACATTGCAGGACAACTTTGTTGTTCATTCCACTTACAATTGAAGGTCTTTGAGCATAGACAGAAGGAACTTAGTTGCTGCCTCAATGTTCTTCTTGAACTCTTCTTGTTGCTCACCCTCCAGCTTGCCTGTCAACAACTTGATGTACCTCTTCATATAGGTGACGAATTGCTTCTTGTCAAAGGGGGGTTGCTCCTGCTCAAGGTTGTAACAACAATTTATCAAATACCATACTCGTGGAAAAGCTAAACAAGTATGCGGGCAGTGGTAGAGTGATCATAACCTGGAGTCTGAATGTGTCAACAATGTCGACCACCTTGACAACTTGATCATCAACACCTTCATCCTCGCCACCCTCAGCTGAGGGATTGGCACCAATGTCAAAATCAACCGCACCCTTGACAACCCACTGTTCAAACAAACCACAGTCAATTTAAGTGTTCGTGACATCGTGAGAGCAGAGAAAAATCCACCAATTTATGAATTCACATATCACGACAAGTCTCAAACCATAGAGAGCAAATGATTAAACAATCCTCCCAAATAACTCATCCAATCTTAAAAATGAACAAATCTCGACTGACTACCCAAAAGAATCACCGAGACTGAACAGAAACTACCTGAAGACCATACACTACTTTTTCTACTAGCTACTCAATCTAAAATAAAAAGCTACAACCTGAACCATGAAAAAATCACAGCATAACCACAAGTAAATACGATATGTTTAATAAATTAACTTGTCACAATAAACTTAGTGAAATTTCTCAATGTCGGATATGGATGTTGAGATATTATATAAGAGCTATTTAGATATAGTACCTTTCCCTCAACTTCCCACAGTGCTCCATTGTGGATTTCCTTGTAGGGAAACGAATCCGAGAGAAGCTCATCACCTGGAATAAGCATTTATTGCAAACATTCGATCAATAACAAGTAACAGCTATGAAATTCAATGAAACAATCGCTCTACAGTCTTATTCCACCTTCCCAATCTCAAACTACAAAGATGGACACACATATGTACATATTGCATCCCTCTATTCAATATATTCCTCTATAATATCTTCCTCTTCCTTTTTCCCTGTTCTTCTCTTAATTACTTTTCCATCTGACCCCAGAAAAAGGAGTGAAATTGCAACACATGTCGGGTCAGCTGCGACCGCAACTTAAAGAGGCACAGTCTCTCAGGCATGAACCCTCATAGAACTCAAAAAGAAACATAAACTTCAACCTCATGAGATGATCGATCACACCAATTCCAAAGACACAAAACTCAACACGCGATTCCACCGAAAAGTCGGCGACTTTCATGCTCGCATCCACAAACCCATGACTCACCGAATCAATTAACAGCATCAATCAACCGCTGAACCAAAAAAAACATACGGAAATATCAGATATTTCAATCAGATCATCCCCTCATCCCCCCATCCAAAGCCAAGAACCCCAGATCCCAACACGCTACTCGATCGACGACCCACACAACACCCAAAACATCGCCGCAGATCTAGACCCGGATGATCAAAACAAAACCCACCAACTCGAAATCGAAGAAACCCCGCCACCCACCAACGGGTGCCCCCCCGCCGCAAGATCCCAAAGCTACGCGCAAGAATCCATCGAATTGAGCCCGGCGAACTTACCGGTGAGGAGATCCTGGTAGACCAACATGATTGGAGATTCGCGACGGTTCTCTCGGATCGTACCTACGGCGAATTCGGGAGCACGAGGGAGAGGGGGAGGGGGATGGCGAGAGCGAGAGAGGGATTGCGATTGGCGAAGACAGGGAGCATATATAGGCAAGGGTTTCGGACCGAAGAACGTGCTGCGGCTTCGCCCGGAAATTACGATTTTGGGTCCGAGGAGCGCGAATATTCCGAGAAAGTCCCTTTCTCTTCTCTCTCTCCGCAATAATTCGCATGTTCTTTCAACCGACGACGGCTCCGGGGGATGGTCGGTAAGGGGTAAGCAAGATGGACCGCCCAAATTGGGATCGGATCAGATCGATCGATTTAGTTTGATTCTTAAGAATATCGGTCCGGTTCTCGATTTCTAAAAGTAAAACCGGTTTTAGGGCGGTCCGGTTCCCGGTTCTAGGGTGAGAACCGGATTGGACCAGATCGACCGGATGGATAAATATATATTTTTTTAATTTTTTTATATATATAATATTTAATATATATAAAAAATATTTAATATTGGTCCAATTAAAACCAATTGTTCAATTTTTTTACATATTATATATATTTTTCCAAATTTTTCCATGGCCTTATTGGATCAAATCAGAACTACAAAAGAAAGAATGGATTAATCGGTTCTCGGTTCACAAATAATATTTAATATTGATCCCATTGGAACCAGACTGGACCGATGGTCCCAAGACTAGCCGGTCCGGTCTCCGGTCCTAGAAATGTAATTAAGTTCAAAAACTTGCAAAAAAATGCAATCAAGTCCTTGTTGACGTCTGGATTTTTGGCCAATAAATCAAACATGCATTTTTTGTGTAATAAAACATAATAAAACAATAAAGAATAACCAATAAAAAATAAATAAGGTGGCTTCCACTCATTTCTTCTCCGACAAGGTGAGTTCAGTATATTCCATCCCAGTTTATCATGAGTAAGAACAAAAACTCTTAAGATCTTGTTTCTGTTTGCGTGATTTCCGAGTAGACTTCAAGATATTTTGGTGATTCTTGCAACACTAACACGTTTGGCGTTAACGGGAATGTTAGTTTTTCATGTGCTTCGATTATATGAACACATTCATAAATATGCTCACTTCCTGTTTGCCAAAATGTTCGAGTTACCCCAGAATCGTCTAATTCGTTATTATGCGCATGTTTAGCTTTGTCGATTGTCAGATCTGGTCGAACCGTGTTCGAAACCGAAACCATTGATGAAATAAGTTGCCAAATTTGACTAGAGCCATGTTGATTCTCGTGTCCATTTTGTTTGTCAACTAGATCTACTTCGCTCTCTGTGTGATGGAGTAGATCTGTTGGCTCCTTGTTCGTGCTATGGTGCAACGATTACCGGACAACTTTCTTTTGTGAATGAGTAGTTGAAGATTCATTGTATATGCTGTCAAGAATTTCTCTGAATTGTGTACGTTTGCTTCGAAATCGTATTCTGTGCATGAATGATGATGGCGTTCGGAATCGGTCGCCGGAGGGGGACGGTCTAGTTTTGTGGGTTCCCGGCTAGCGGACCACGGTGGCAGTACTACGACTGGAGGTAGATGATGGTGATGTCAGTCTAAGGCTTGGATATGTTGATTGTTGACAAGGTTTTGTTGATGGTGAATCAGTAAAAATGGAGTTCTCAATATAGGAAGAAGACCATGGATTTAGAGTGGTAATGATGGGTCATGGGTTTAGTATTGCAATTAAGGTGAGCTTAGTGCGATTATAGAAAAAATGGGCTTGATGCAGCTACACAATAAAATAGGTTTGACTTGGGTTTTAGAAATTTTGGACTTGATTAGGGAGTTTAAATGGTCAGAATTAGACCTTGGTGGTTTGGGTTTCATTCCATTGAAGGTGCTTGTAATAGAAAGCCCAATTCTTGTCCAAAGTTCAGTCCACATTCGGACCAGGCCCAAGGGCCCAGGTCGTGTACCATTTTATTATTGGATTAATACCACGATAAATGCCGCATATTTTTCAGTATCTACAATTGCAAATAATAAAGGGTTAATACCATGAAAAACCCTAAACCTGGTACACTTGTGACACATTTACCCCAAACTATTTTTTTGACCATAAAACCTCAAACTGGTACACCCGTGACAATTTTACTTCGAACTATTTTTTGACCACCAAAACTCCAAATCGAGACACTGTGACGATTTTACTGAACTTACAAAAACCCAAACCGGTACACTCGTGACAATTTTACTATGAACTTACCACAGAAAATCCCAAATAGATATATGACAATTTTACCCCGAATTAAATTTTTAATATTATTTTTTATTTTTTCGAATTTTTATTAATTTTTCTTTTTTTTTTTTTTTCTTCATCTTCAACCTCTCGGGTCGGTGAGCCGGACCGGCGACCTCGGCCGTAGGCTAAGCCGGCGATGTTGGCCTCGTTGGCCGCCGGGCGAGGGCCGCCTCGCGGCTGTCGGCGAGACACTGCCGGGCGCAGGCAACCTCGCGTAGTCAAGCGAGGGTCGCCCTCGCCTCGACGCCGGCGAGGGCCGCCCTCGCCGATCCGGCGAGGGCGCCCTTGCCTCGACGCAGTGAGGGTCACCTCGCTCCGATGCCTGGCAGGTCCCTCGCCGCGGCTCGGACGAATGCCCTCGCTCGGGTGGGCGAGGGCAACCTCGTCCCGAGCCTGGGCGAGGGGCCCCTCGCCCACGCCTCGGCAAGGTCGAGCTCGCCGGCCGGCCGACGAGGTCGAGCCTTGGCGGCACGGTGAGGCGCCTCGCCGGATCTGGGCGAGGGCAACCCTCGCCCGCGCTGGGCGAGGTCGCCGACGCCGGCGAGGCGCCTCGCCCAAGCCGCAAGGTCGAGCCTCACCGGGCGGGCCAACCTTGCCGGCATCCGCCTGAGCACCGTCCTGCGACCGGCCGTAGGTTGAAGATGAATAAAAAAAAGAAAAAAAAAATTCAAAAATTCAAAAATTCAAAAAAATATTATTAAAAAATTAGTTCGGGTAAAATTGTCACGTGTGTACTCGCTTGGGGTTTTTGTGGTGTAAGTTCGAGGTAAAATTGTCACAGGTGTACCAGTTTGGGGTTTTTTGTGGTCAAAAAAATAATTTGGGATAAATGTGTCATAAGTGTATCAGTTTAGGGTTTTTCATGGTATTAACCCTTTATTATTTGCAATTGTAGATACTGAAAAATATGCGGCATTTATCGTCTTGTAATTAATTGTGTGTGAATGATGACATATGGTGAAGACTTTTGCCATAGCCCATTCGCCACCGAGCAAACTACGAAAAACATTACATTGGTCTCTCTTCAATAATTTTCTATATATTGAGATCGATTTGCAAAAATAATATATTGAAGGGTTAATATCACAAAAAACCCCAAATCGGTATACTTGTGACAAATTTATCCGAAACTCATGAATTCCCGTGTGGTAGAATTATTGTCATGTGTCATCTAGCTCAACCATTTCACGGATAAATTTGACAGAAGTTAATAGATGGTAAATATGTCATGAGTGTATCAATTTTAGATTTTTGATGACCCAAATATTAGTTTGGAGTAAATTTATCGCATGTGTACTGGTTTGGGGTTTTTGGGGACTCAAAAATTAGTTTGAGATAAATATGTCATATGTGTACCAGTTTGGATTTTTTCCTGATATTAACCCTATGTTGAATGATGTACCATATATATATATTCATATTGAATGCGATCCATTTGTAATTTGTCAAGTTAAGCATTCTATACTTTTGTAGACCAGTGTCAAAATATAAACCATTACTCATTTGTTTAAAATTTTCCATGCGATGCCCTTTTCGGGAAAGAAGCCCAAGTATTTTTCGACTAATCATTTGAAAAGCATTGCCTACAACCTTGACTTGAGAAATTGCAAACTAAACCCGATAAATTTTTTTCCGAGGGAAAAAAATAAGTGAAGTGGTAGCACGCAAAATCAAAATAATAGTTTCGATCGGTTTAGAAATATTTACTTTCAAAACTGCGAAGTGCATTGGACTTTTTGCTTAAATTCTGTTCCACCTAAACTACGCGCATATGTGTGATTGGGAAAATTGTCGGTGTTTTTAAACTGCAATGTTTTCTTCCATCCAAATTAAGTATTTACATTAATTGTTAGGGATTACGTTCAACAATGTACAAAGAATCCAATAATGGCAATTTTTCTCTCATGATTGATTTTTTTTTTTGGTCGAATTGTCATGATTGATATAAATGGCTGATAATGTGGAAAGTACCTAAAAACCTCCAAATCAGGTTTCACTCTCTAAAGCCAGAGTAACTTAATTAATGCACCCTAATAATGGAAAATAGCCAGCTATGTTCCTCCACATTCAACCCATGGTATGTTTGGAAAAAGATTTAGTCTCCAAAAATAACCAAATGTCATTTAGAATCATTTTACTAAATCAAGCCAATCATTTAATAAATAAAAAAATGCAAGACTACCATTGCTCCCACAATGAAACACGAGTTTATTTTACCGGTGTGGTTGGCTCTATGATTCTATCCATTCAATCGCCAATGTAATTGGCAAAAACCAAGAAAAAGAAAAAAAATTGCACATCGCGTGAGAAACGAGCCCCGTTAATCTCAAGTCAATTTGAGAAATCGTTAGATGAGTGTAGTATATGAATCAAACTGAATTCAAACCATTGCGATGGATGGGTCTTATCTAATTTGACGGTCCAAATTTGATTTAGCATTTAAGCGATAGCTTCTCAATGAGTAATTTTTCAGTCATTTTTCACTAGTGTCATCATCGGAATTGTGGGCGCAACCCCGGAAATCAGCAACTAAATAGTGAAGAAATCCACGGTCCATATCAGATTTGTTATGTCTCATCCTTTGCATTGAATGCACTTCCACCCATGGCTTCCATGTGCCAACCCGGATTATGCATACCTTGTATGAAATTGCCCGATTCTCTCATTACCATCGTTGTGACCTCCCCTCAATATATATATTATACCCCTCTTCCATTTTCACCTCCATCGCTCTCAATCAAAACCCTAGTAAAGCCTGTGTGTGTTTTGATCTTCTGTGTTTGTGAAGAAGAAGCAGCAGATCCTGAAGAAGATGGCGGCTGCACCATACGCCACTGTGAACCACCAGAATCAGTGCACCGTTTGCTTGTAGAGCTTGGCCGTGTGCACCCTTGGGATTCTCTATTGCCACCATACCTTCTATTTGGATAGGTGTATTGTCTTGCGTAAATCCGCATATGCATCACGTACTTTTTACTTTTTGCTTCTTTTTTCTGTGTGTGTGTTTTCGCTGTGTACTTCTTCAATAGACTGGTATATCTTAAGCCAGTGTGTCAGTAATCCAAAGATCTTTGATTTTAGAAATCCATGTTGTTAGATAAATTGTCAAAAGGAAAAACTGCTGATTTTTGTGAATTTTGCACTGTTTTTCTTACGCATAATATTTCAGGGTTCCCTTTTTTGAAAAAGAAAATCAAAAAGAAAAAAAAATAGAGGAGGTTACATTTCAGCCAAATAAATAAAATGTGTTAATGTGCTCAAAATAAAAAGAGACAAATATTTTTAATGAAGAGTGCATATATTTGTAATAGAATTACTGTTACTTCCTTTATTTTGGGCTTTTATCATAAATTAAAACCGATCACGATTTTGTTGACGGTAAGCATATCGAATCTTCGACAAAAAAAACATATCGAATCTTAAGTTTAATTTTTCAAAAATAAATTTTTGATTTGTAGCAATTAAATAATGACCTACAACGTTGGTGATGGATGGGGATGTGTAGAATTGTCTTATTAAGAAATGCCATAGTTAAGGTAAAATCAGGAAGCCCTACGATTGATGATGGTTTAGAGTGGTGTTTGATGCAGCGGCCATTTGAAACTTCAACTAAATCAGGTACCTTATAAATTGGATCACTTTGACTGTATTAAGCATATCTTTGTGTCTAGTTTTCGATTATTATCATTGTGATTCCTTTGTATAAGCTTTTTATGTTGAAATGTATCGTGCGTTACATTTTGTGTAGTGATTTTTAAAGACCCGATTTTTTTTTGCATCGAATTAATGAATCCCATATCTTTAATTAACTTTCATCTTTTGTATCGGAGAGAGAGAGATCGTGACATTAGCGCTATAAGTGAGGAGCAACACAAATTCAATAGCGTTGTTTCCCGAGCAAGACATATCAAGATTGCCATGACTCAATATTTATAAACTCGAGCTCATATATTTTGAGGACCAATACCAATTGCATGGTTTGAAACTTTGTGGTGAATGGCCAAGTGAGGCAAACCATTTTTACGACTCATGTTTTTGCGATGCCCGTGACTGCATGGCTGGTTAAACTGTTTGACTTACCTTTGGTTTGCATGATTCAAGCTCCGTAACTTACCGACCAAAAAAAAAAAGTTCTGTAAATCAAACCTCGCATTTGCAATGATTGATGAATTTAAGTCGCATGAATAGTATCACCTTACTATAGTTGCGACTCATCGAGCTATAGTCGTGGCAAGTCTAATTAACTAATTATTACCGGTGAGGAGATCCTGATAGACCAACATAAGTGGAGATTTGCGCAACTCTCTCGGATCGCACCTACAACAATTGTGAGAGAGAGAGAGAGAGAGAGAGAGAGAGAGAGAGAGAGAGAGAGAGAGAGATCGGCTATATTCACGATACATGCAAAGAAGCTCTCCCTTGACTGCATGCCATGTGTTGACTCCTCTTCATGAACGACCGTTGCTTTACTTCTTGCGGATGATATCACGCCCCACTCTGCACCACCACGCTGCTTCCAACATCCGGAGTTGTCCCTGCCTCAGCCCTTCACGCCTCAGACGCTGCTCCGACAGCCAGCGAGCGCCCAGAGATACCAGCCAGTGAGCGCGAGCGGTTTCCAGTAATTCCAAACAATTTTCTGCAGATTCTCGGCGAGCCCATCCTCTCCGGCGCTCAGCACAGCAGCCCAGCGGAACTAGTGCTCATCGCCAGCCACCATATATAGCGCCGTTACAATCCCGGCGAGCCACTGTCCCTGACCCGACGCTCACTGCAGTCAGGTTTTCCAGCAAGTCCCTGTAATTCGGCCATTCTCCAGCAGGTCTGGCGTGTCTCAATCAATTTGGACGACTCCCGGAGGTCCTCCTTTGAAATCCACCAACGTCCAGCAACTTCACAAGTGTCCTCGCAGTGAAGCTCCGTGAGTTCAAAGTCATTACCAAGTCCAACGAGTCCTACAGCCGAGTTGGCCAATCTCGTTGGTCGTTGCCTTGTCTGATTCTCCATCGATCGAGAACTCACAGTAACGCTGCGAGCTTGCTCAGTCCTTGCCTCACCGAGAGGCTATCGAACACTCCTTGGCCGAGTCACACCGCAAGCCACCATCCGTCGAGTCCCGCGATCCGCAATCCGGATCCGTCGTCCGTCCGAATTTGGAAACGCTATTCGAGCAATATCGCGGATCAGGTGAGAATTTTCATTATTCAATTTTCATATATTTTGTTGCCTAATTTGTGAAATTGCAATCTTGTTTAAATCTTTGAGTAATATTACCATATCCATGGAAACTCCCAAGTACCCTTAAATTAGGAATTATTTCCCAATTTCGTAACGTGCGATGGTCGATAGTCCGATTTCATGCCCGAAATATGACTCGCGATCGCACGGAAAATTGTCAATCCGATCTCCTGCCCGAGATATGATTCGCGATTGTGTGGAAAATTGACAAATCCGATCCTCATGCCCGAGATATGATTCATCAATCTATCCTTTCTAAATTTAAAGGGATATGGATAATATTTTTTTTGATTGGGTGTCGTGTTCATTGCTATTTCTTTCCGTCTTTTGTTTGAATTGAATTGATTGTCTTTCCATAAAAAAAAAACACAAAAAGATTAGGTAAAATTTGAGTAGATAATATATTGCATGTTTAGGATAAATTTTGATTATTTTCTTAAAATAGATTAGATTCTTTTCTTAGATTTTATTATTACATGTTTAAATTAGGTTAATTATTTATTCCGAATTTAAATTAAAAAAATATAAAAAATACCACATGCATGTCATATTAGAGTAGTTGCATATTAATTAATTCTCGTCATTAGAAATTTCACGTCTAGGTTCATTTGCGTGCCACATTAGAGATAATGCATTTAATTGTTGTTAGAATTAGGACATTTAAATAAATCGTATGTCCAATGTCATACTAGACCTAGAATGCATTACATAAAGTTTAGTTTTTGTTAAATCAGAGAAAACCCTAAAAAAGATTTAAGTGAAATTGTGCGTTAATTAGAAATCATATGAGGATTGTCAATGTGATTTTCTAACTAACATTGCAGATGCTTTCGCTACTTTGAGGTAAGTCCCTATCTTGCAGTTTATTTATTGCTTTGCATTATTGAGTATTATATTATTGGTTGCGCACCATGATCACATCGCATGTTAGTGGATAGGTTTAAAATTAATCCAAGCTACCTGCAAATATTTTTTTGAAATAAAAGAGAAAAGGTACTGAAAGGGCATTATAGTAATCTAGTGTAACCAAATCCCCAAATCCATAATCTCTAGTTCGTAGGAGTAAAGTAATTCTCTCAATACTTTACTTGGGTTTCCAATCGACCCACCAAAAATAGATTAGTGGCGACTCTTGATTGAAATGATTTGCATGTTAAGAACTTGAACCTTAAGTCGCGAATTGGTATAGGCTTGGGAGAGCCCGAGTTAACTATCGCAATCTCACCTCCCGCGGTGCACCACATAGAGGTACCAATTCGCGACTTAAGATTCAAGTTCTTAACATGCAAATCATTTCAATCAGGAGTCGCCACTAATCTATTTTTGGTGGGTTGATTAGAAACCCAAGTAAAGCATCGGGAGAATTAATTTACTCCTACGACTCAGAGATTATAGATTCGGGGACTTGGTTACACTAAATTACTCTAATGCCCTTTCGGTACCTTTTCTCTTTTATTTCAAAAAAATATTTGCAGGCAGCTTGGATTGATTTTAAACCTATCTACTAACATGCGGGGTGATTATATGAGTGCGCAACCAACAATATAACACTCAATAATGCAAAGCAATAAATAAATTGTAAAGATAAGGAGGAAAACTTACCTCGAAGCAACGAAAGCTTTTGCAATGTTAGTTAGAAAATCACATCAACAACACTAATATGATTTCTAATTAACACGCAATTTCACTCAAATACTTTTTTAGGGTTTTCTCTGATTCAATGAAAACTAAACTTTATGCAATGCATTCTACGTCTAACATGACATGCGATATACGATTTATCTAAATGTCCTAATTCTAATAATAATTAAATGCACTATCTCTAATATGGCACGCAAATGAACCTAGACATGAGATTTCTAATGACAAGAATTAATTAATATGCAACTACTCTAATATGACATGCATGTGGTATTTTATATATATTTTTAATTTAAATTCAGAATAAATAATTAACCTAATTTAAACATGTAATAATAAAATCTAAGAAAAGAATCTAATCTATTCTAAGAAAATAATCAAAATTTATCCTAAACATGCAATATATTATCTACTCAAATTTTACCTAATCTTTTTGTATGTTTTATGGAAAGACAATTAATTCAAACAAAAGACGGAAAGAAATAGCAATAAAATGAACACGACACCCAATCACGAGAAATATTATCCATATCCATTTAAATTTAAAAACAATAGATTGACAAATCATATCACGGGCATGAGGATCGGATTGGTCAATCTTCCGCACAATCGCGAACCATATCTCGGGCGGGAGATCAAATTGACGATTTTCCGTGCGATCGCGAGTCATATTTCGAGCATGGAATCGGACTGTCGACCATAGCACGTTATGAAGTTAGGAAATAATTCCTAATTTAAGGGTAAGATTACTCAAAGATTTAAACAAGATTGCAATTTCACAAATTAGGCAACAAAATATATAAAAATTGAATAATGAAAATTCTTACCTAATCCGCAACATTGCTCAAATAACGTTTCCAAATTCGGACGGACGATGGATCCGGATTGCGAATCACGTGACTCGACGGATGGTGGCTTGCGGTGTGACTCGGCCAAGGAGGGTTCGATGGTGAGACAAGGTCACGTGGCTGCGGCGCCACTGGGAACTGCTTCGTTGTTGTTCAAATTGTTGGTTCCGGCGTCGCTGAAGCAATGAACTTTGATGGCAGGAGCAACAAGGCGCTACGGCTGGACTTGGTGAACGTCGGACTTGCTGTGTCCGTAAATCTGAGGAAGAAAGAACGTCATGATGGGATGTGAAAGTGAGCTCTTGATGAAGAATCGGCACGAAGGTCCTCTTGGCCGCATGCTTCTTTCAATTGTAGGCGCTATATATATTTTTTACTCACACACTGATCCACTCACCCAGCAAACCCACTGAAGCTTTCCCCAGAGAACTCCCTCAATATTCACGCCTCTCTCTTCTCCGGTTCCACAAGAACGTGTACTCCCCTCAATGGTGAACGTCTCGCCCTCCCTCAATTATTGGCCGTGTATTCTATTACGTGGTCTCCTTCTATTGCGAACCCTAATACATCTATTTATAAGAGTTAATCTGGGTTGTCTTGCAAGAGCCAAGATATATTATTTCCTAATTCTGATACTCAACTTAGGCAATTTTCTGATTATTTGCTCTATCTGAATATTCATAGAATAATATGAATTATCTTCCAAGTATATTATTTAATAATTTGATGATTCAATTATTCAAACTTGCTCTATAATGCAAATTTCGGCCATATATGTATTCAATGGGCTTGGACAAACATTTAATCTTTTGGGCTGAGTCCAATCAATTAAGCTCAAAACCATTCACTTAAGTCCATCCGCCGCCGGTCCAATGCAAATGCAGCTATATGAGCCTAAATACTAATTCAAATGCTCCTAATCTATATGCAATTTAACTAATTTTTTTCTAAGGATCAGGATCGATCCCTAATTTTTATGCAACGAACGACTAACCGGGTCGTCAAAATTTAGATGTCAACATCCAACTTTTTATTTTAACGAGATATTAGTGAAATTTACATATATTAAGTTATATCTTGGAGGACGTGATAGAGATTAGACAACTTGATGTATAGTTGAATTTCAGATGATGTTGTCCCTGACTTAGGGCGTCGTTGGCTCCACAAGCAAAGTCCCTTGACTCCCTCCTTTTCCCCACTCTCCAAATTGATCCAAGGTCATATATAAGGTTACCAACTGCGAAAAACATCACAACGGATATTATTATTGTATTTCTCAGTTCAATTATGTTTGATATATTAAGATCGTTTTATAAGAGTCATAGACAATATGATGTAGCAAAGTTATATGAGTATTCAACGTTATTCGCTTGTAATTTGTTAGGTTACCTAGTCTATACTTATGTAGACCAATATCAATATATATTTTTCCATGTGATACTTTCGTGCTGACTTAAAAGCCCAATTAATTTTGAACTAATAATTTGAAAAGCAGAACTTGACCTTAAATTATTCAATTGCAAACTAAACTCAATAAATTTTTCTTTTGGCAAACCTTTACTTTTGAAACTACAGAGCATTATGCTTTTTACTTGACCTTGTTCCAACTAAAATACGCACTTGTATGTGATTGGAAAAATTTAGGTACTTCGAAACTACGATGTTTTCTTTCATCCAAATTAATTATTCACATTAATTGTTATGGATTAAGTTCAACGTTCAAAGAATACATTTATGGCTGATTTGTTTGTCATGATTGATTCAAATGGTTGAAAATATGGAAAGTACTTAAAAACAATCAACTTAGGTTTTCACTCTCTAAAGCGAGTGGCTTAGTTTTTTTTTTTTTTTTTTTGGTCGGTCCTACTCTATCTCTCATTCACGATACACACTCGGACTTGCGCCCCACCTCTTACAGTGGCGTGGGCGGCGAAACCCATCTTAAACTACGCGGCCTCGCCCTTCCCCTGCGAAGGTGAGGATTCGAACTCCCCACCTCTCCCTTCTCAAGTGAGAATGGTGGCCACCGGGGTAAACCCCGGTGGTTAAGCGAGTGGCTTAGTTAATGCACCATAAAAATGGAAAATGGCCAGCTATGGTCCTCTACATCCAAGCCCATGGTATGTTTGGAAAGTGATTTAGTATCAAAATATATCCATATATCATTGACATTCTTTTTATTAAATCAAGCCAATCATATAGTTACAAAAAGGAAATTCTTCCTCTACTCCCAACATAAAACACAAGTTAATTTTACTGTTCTTGTGTTTCAGTCCACGAATCTATCCTTTCAATAGTCGATGTAATTGGTTAAAAAAAAAAAGAAATTCACTTTCAGCCAATTAGTTCAACAGTTCTAATTTCTAATGGCCAATAAGTGCACATAGTGTGGGAAGTGAGCTCCTTTATTCTCAAATTAATAAAAAAAAATTGTTAGACGAGAATATTATATGAGTCAAACTAAATTCAAATCACTGAAATTGATGGATCTTATCCCATCTGTTGATCTAAATTCAAATCATTAAAATTGATAGGTCTTATCTCGTCTGACTGTCCAAATTTAGTTTAATATATAAATCATAGGTCAAATGAGTAATTTTTTGCCATCATTTGTCGCTATGTCATCCTCTGAATTATGGGCCCACCCCCAAAGTCTGCAACAAATCAATTGAAAAATGCACCACCCGTATCGGATTTGGTCTGTCTTTTCTTTTGCATTGAATGCACTTCCACCCATGGCTTCCACATGCCAGCCGAGATTATGCATGCCTTGAATGGAGTTGCCTGATTCTCTCATTACCATCATTGTGACCCCCTCGATTTACATATTCCCCTCTTTCATTCTCACCTCTTTTGCTCTCAATCAAAACCCTAGCAAAGGCTGTGTGTGTCTGTGTGCGTGTTCTCATCTTTCGTGTTTGTGAAGAAGGAGGTGAAGAAGAAACTGCTTCCGAAGAAAATGGCTGCTGCATCGAACGCCACTCTAAACCACCAGAACCACTGCACAATCTGCCTAGAGAGCTTGGCCGTGTGCACCACCATGACCATCCACCCTTCGCTGCCGCCCCACCTTCCATATGGGTAGGCGTTTCGTCTTGTGTAAATTTGCATATATAGACTAATTTGTTTTTCTTTTTTCTTCTTTTATCTGTGTGTTTGTGTGTTTTCAATGCGTGCTTCTTTGATTGACGTTGTTTCTGTTGTTGAGAGAGAGAGAGAGAGAGAGAGAGAGAGAGAGAGAGAGAGAGAGAGAGAGAGAGAGTTGTTCATACTTCAAACTGATGTGTGCTGTCTTTTTGTTGTTACTCTACCGACACATGAGCAAATATATGCAGGTTTGTGCATGAAGATGCGCTTGCTCGATTGAATAACGTATAGATCTACGTGAAACACACATGGACTTACGTTTTCATGCATTTTTTGCTGTGGGTGTTCGGTGTTGTGGATAGTCTACGTAGTTTTTATCAGTTATATTTCGTTGGGATACATGAGGGATTATTTGATCGGAAATCAAAGATGCTAATATTTGGCTAATTAGATCTAGGACTACTATATCTTGAGCCGTGTGTCGTAATCCTAAGATCTTTGTCTAGAACCAAAGTTTAGCAAGCCTTGTTGTTAGATAAATTTTAAAAGGAGAAACTTCTGATTTCTGCAAAATTTGCACTGTTTTTCTTATGTATGACATTTCAAGGTTCTTTTTTTTTTTAAATGAAGAAAAAGAAAAGAAAAAAAGAGGAGGTTACATTTCAACAGAATAAACAATATGTGATGATGTGTTCAAAATAAGACGAGATAGCTATTTTTAATGAAGAGTGCATATAATTGTAATAAACTTAGGGTGCGTTTGTTCAAGTGAAAGAATTTTCTGAGATTTAGTTTACTTCACGCGTATGATTTATGGAAAATGAAAATCCATTTACGGTCAACAAAAATATGCATTAATAAAGTTAGGAAAATAAATTTTCTAACTCGAAAATGAAAAAAAATATTTTCTTCTGAAAAATATATTTTGCGGAAAACATTTTTCTTTATCGTGAATACATCATGTTACTTTCTTTATGTTCGAAATTTATCATCAATCAAAACCGATCACGATTGTCTTGACGATAAGTATACTGAATCTTAAGGTAAAGTTTTCAAAAATAAAAATCGTTAACTATTTTTTATACAGAGTGCATACAGTTGCAGTAGAATTTTATGAATGAGTTACATCCTTCTTGACGCGGGGTATTATGCTAAGCTCGTGTCAAACCTAATTGCCCATATACTTAAATTGGCACTTATACCTACATACTGAACAAAACATATTATGTAAGCACTTGTATTAACTATATGGTCCGTGTACTTCTTTTTAGCAAGTACATCCTCCTCCGTTGATCGGGGTAATATATTTGTAGCAATTAACTAACCACCCACATCAGTGGTGATAGATGAGGATGTGTGAAAAGACAATACCTAGTATTTGCTTATTATGAAGTACCATATTTAAGCTAAAATCAAGAAGTCTTGTGATCGATGATGGTACACAACGGTGTTAGGTGCAGCGGCCATTAAGAACTACAACTAGACCAAATACCTTATTAATTGGATCACTTTGACGGGATCTTTGTATCTAGTTTTCGATTAGTATCATTATGATTCCTTTCTATAAACTTTATATGCCGAAATATATCGGGCATTACATTTTCGGCAGTGTTTTTACAAATTTGAGTTATTATATTTTTTACACCGAATTAATGAATCACGTATCTTTGGTTACCTTTCATCTTTTGTAATGGAGAGAGAGATTACATATCATCACTATACGTGAGGAGAGAGATTTCAAGTGAAGTTTCTTACTGAGTGAGAATATATATCACATTCTATCTTAAGGTAGAAAATTGAATTCGTTGATTCATCTTTATACAATCTTAACACTTATTAGCTAGGCTGACGTAATCAATAAATTCGTGTTAATTAAAATTCAGTAGGGTCATTGGCTAGCCAAACATGTCAAGATTGCCATGACTTGATATGGATGATCCCGAGCTCATTAGGGATTTGGGTTTCAAAGACTAATATCAATGGCTTGGTTTGAAACTTTGTGATGAATGGCCAAGTGACGTAAAATATTGCATGAATCTTGTTCTTTGCGACGTTGATGACTGCATGATTGGTTAACTTGTTTAGACTTACCTTTGACTGTTCTATACGATTCGCATCACATCATTATTTATAGTTGTCAAATAGTAAAAGTATCCACATTAATCAAAGGTGATACTAATCATGTGACTTCGATTCACAATCATTGCGAACGAGAGGTTTAATTCATGCAACCTGATCTCATCGAACTATTGCCTTGGTGAGTATAATTATCTAATTGCAGGTGGATCTAGGTTGGAAAGACATTAACCATAGTCAATATCGTCCTTTAGCTTTCCTTTTCGCTTAACTCAGATTTTACATTTTTTTTTTGAGAGAGCGGGTGATGCAATGTCCGTATGATGCATCTTCGTTCCTGGTAATTCCTGTCAATCTTAGTAGGATTCATTAGCCTTATCGAATACTCATCAGCGCTGGACCTGGCAAATTGAATGATGGATGGTGCACAATCTGATTATGAGTCTCCAATTGCATTCTTAGAATGTCTCGATTCGTGAATGTATAGTGTTTTATTGCCTCGCACTCGTCGTCCTGATGGTGGCATCTCTTGAGTTTATGCACTGCAGAAGTGTTCCAATTCAGCCAGACGACCGTGTACTCGTTCAAGTTGAGCCCTTTCGGTTTTATTTCCAGCGATGAATTGTTTTTGCTTTTTGCAATTGTTTCTGATTCAGATTGCCTGGGCTCGGCTTTCAATGCTGGGAACGGTGCCCCATGTGCCGGGCAGCGGAGGAAGGGGTCTGGAGGAGCTTCCCGACCACAGCTCCTCGGAGCAGCAGAGCGGGTGCCCATACGACCCAGGAAGATGTGCAGGAGCCACCCGTCCGAATGATAATAAATAGTCATCCTTATACGCCTCGAGTTGTTTTGCCACGTCAATTATCGGTTTCATGGGATCCTGTAAATTTATATTCGCCGTAATTCTAGAATCTGCTATGACTGTAGACTCGGGGCTTCTTTCCTTTTGGATTTTGATCTTGGCTTTGTTAGATCAGTTTGATAAGTTACAGGTGAAACTGATGGGATAGGGGCAATGTGTTGCCCTATTTCGCTTATGGTGTAATGTGCATTGAGTTATCGCTATGACTCTGGTCTCTGCACTTGAGATTTAAAATTTCTTGGTCTTGTGGTGGAAAGAAAACAGACATTTGCCTAGTTTCATGAGCTTTGTCTCGTTCTTCTCATAATGAGCTTGAGTTGATCTGTTTTTACCTGTGGAAGAATAGGACTGGGGAGCTGTATACTTTTGGAGTCGACTGCAAATCAGCTAGGGTTAAAACCTCCACGGTCCTTCTCTATTCAATGAGCTCTCCAATGTATTTTCATGCAATTTTCAGCTCGGTCGAGCTCTTTGCTCCTCCTAGCTGTTTTGCTTTCTGTCTTTTTAGGCTCCATTCGTTTTACGAAAAATAACTTCTGGGAAAACATTTTCTGGGTTTTTCGGTGTTCATTTAACGGAAATAAACTAGTCATGAAAAACATTTTCCCTCAATGGACAAAATACCTTAAAAAATAAGGAAAATGTTTTCCACTTTTTGAAAAGAGGAAAACATTTTCCCCCCTCCTTCTTTCATCATTCATTATAATTATTTTTGGTTTCTTTTTTAAAATTCTAAATTTTTTTTATTTTTTAATTATCTTATTAATTTTTTTTTATTTTCTTTTTCTTTCTCTTTTCTGTCTTCTTCTCAGCTGGCGACCGGCCATAGGCGAGCTTGAGCCTTGCCACAGAGCCTCACCCGCTTGTGGCGAGGCCGAGCTCGCCCGAGGCCGGTGAGCTTGGGCCTCGCCAGATCCGGAGAGCTGGGCAAGGCGTGGGCCTCGCGTGAGGTCGCCAAAGCCTCGCCGACGTTTGGCAACCCTGAGCCTCGCCCAAGCTCGCCGGCCTGTGGCGAGGCTCGAGCTCACCTATGGCCAGCCGCCATTGTGGCTGGCAACCGGCTGAGGAAGAAGAAGAAGAAGGAAAAAAAAGAAAATTAAAAATATTTTTAAAAAATAAAAATAAAAAATAATTAAAAGTAGTGCAAGGAGGAAATTCTTTTCCATACCGAACAAGGGAAAATATTTTCCGAGACTTTTTCGATTTCAGCCGAACATCAGAAAATTATATCATTCTCCAGGAAAATGGCTTCTTAGAAAACATTTTCCAGAAACGTAAAATTTTTTGCGAAACGAACGGAGCCTTAGTATGTTGTTGGAATCCGATTCAACGTGATGAAAGGCCACGTGTATGTGAAGGAAATTACTCGTTCACATCGAAGAAAAGCGAAGTTAAGGGGCTTAACTGAACAACTGTAAGCTGTGACAAGTGCAAGGGCAATTTGATGGAGCGTGCAGAATGGGCTTGGATTTGGGAACGAGATTAAAGAAGTCTACTGAGGAACAAGCTGGTTTTAAGAAAACGACTCGTCGAAACTTACGGTTGTTTTCTTGACCTATTAAACAAGTATGCTTTTTGCTCGACCTTGTTCCGCCTACATTACGCACTTGTGTGTGATTGAGAAAATTTTCGGTGCTTTGAAACTATGATGTTTTCTTTCATCCAGGTTAATTATTCACATTCATTGTCATGGATTAAGTTCAACGTTCAAAGAATACATTTATGGCAGATTTGTTTGACATGATTGATTCAAATGGTTGAAAATGTGAAAAGCACTTAAAACTGACCAACCCAGGTTTTACTCCCTAAAGGGAGTAGCTTAGTTAATGCACCTTAACAATGGAAAATGGCCAGCTATGATCCTCTACATTTAAGCCCATGCTATGTTTGAAAAATGATTTAGTCTCAAAATATATCCAAATATGATTGAGATTCCTTTTATAAAATCAAGCCAATCATATAGTGGTTCACTCTATAATTCTATCCACTCAACAGTCCGGTGTAATTGGTTAAAAAAAAAACTGCTTTCAGCCAATTAGTTCAACACTTCTAATTTCTAATGGCCAATGAGTGCACATAATATGGAAAACGAGCCCCATTAATCTCAAATCAATTAGAGAAATTGCTAGATGAGTATAGTATATGAATCAAACTAGATTCAAATCATTGAAACTGATGGGTTTTATCCTATCTATTGGTCCACTAGATGAGAATATTATATGAGTCAAACTAAATTCAAACCATTAAAATTGAAGAGTCTTGTCCCATCAAACGACCCAATCTTAGTTTAATATATAAACCATAGGTTAAATGAGTAATTTTTCCATCATTTGTCACTAGTGTCATCCTCGAATGTGGGCCCATCCCCAAAATCTGCAACAAAATAATGAAAAAATGCACCACCCATGTAAGATTTGGACCGTCTCTTCTTTTGCATTGAATGCGCTTCCACCCATGGCTTCCATGTGCCAACCCAGATTATGTATGCCTTGTATGGAGTTGCCAGATTCTCTCATTACCATCATTGTGATTCCCCTTGATTTACATATCGTTCCCCTCTTTCACTCTCGATCAAAACCCTAACAAAGGCTGTGTGTCTGTGTGGGTGTTCTCATCTTTTGTGTTTGTGAAGAAGGAGGTGAAGAAGTTTCTGAAGAAAATGGCAGCTGCATCAAACGACACTTCAAACCACCAGAGCCACTGCACTATCTGCTTAGGGGGCCTGGCTGTGCGGACCACCGTGACCCTTCGCTGCCGCCACACGTTCCATTTAGGTAGGTGTTTCGTCTTGTGTAAATCTGCATATATAGATTGCAATGTTTTTCTTTTTCCTTTTTTTCTCCATGTCTATGTGTTTTCATTGCATGCTTCTTCGATTGATGTTGTTGCTGTTGTTGAGAGAGAGAGAGAGAGAAAGAGTTACATTGAGTCGTTCAAACTTCAAACTGATATGTGTTGTCCTTTTGCTGTTGCCCTATGGACACATGCGCGAGTATATGCCGGTTTGTGCGCGAAAATACGCCTGCTTGACTGAAAAACGTATAGATCTACAGGAAATACATGTGGACTTACGTTTTCATGCATATTTTGCTCTGGGTCTTTGGTGTGGTGGATGGTCTAAGTAGAGATTATTATTTATTTTTAATTGGGATACATGAGGGATTATTTGATCGGAAATCAAAGATGCTAATATCTGGCCAATTGGATCTAGGACTACTATATCTTAAGCCAGTGTATTGTAATCCGAAGATTTCTGTGTAAAACCACAGTTTAGCTAGCCATGTTGTTAGACACATCTTCAAAGGAAAAACTGCCGATTTCTGCTAAGTTTGCCTGATTTTTTTTACGTATGACGTTTCAAGGTTCCTTTTTCTTTAAAAATGAAAAAAGAAAAGCCAAAAAAGAAGAAGAAGAGGTTACATTTCAACCGAATAAACAAAATGTGATGATGTGCTCAAAATAAAAGAATTTAATTGAGTGAATTTTTTTTTGAGAATTAGTTTTTGGGACTTTCATGCTTTTGATTTGTTGAAAATGAAAAACCATTATAGCTAAAAGATATATATGCGTACTTAATTTTCCTAACTTGAAAATGGAAAAAAAAATTTCTTCTGAAAAGATTATGTTCAGAAAAACATTTTACTTTATCGTGAATACATCCGGTTACTTTCTTTATGTTGGGCATTTATCATAAATCAAAACCGATCACAATTTTCTTGACCGTAAACATATGGAATCTTAAGGTCAAGTTTTCAAAAATAAAAATCGTCAACTATTTTTCTGTAAAGAGTGCATATAGTTTTAGTGGAATTTTATGAATGAGATACATCCTTCTTGACGCGGGGTTTTATGCTAAGCTCGCGCCAAACCTAATTGCTCATATACTTATAACCCATATTATAATCTGGCACTTGTACTTAACATACTTAACAAAACATATAATGAAAGCACTTGATGAGGGTAATTTGTTTTGTAGCAATTAACTGACCATCCCACATCAATGGAGATAAATGGGGATGTGTAGAAAAGACAGTACCTAGTATTTGCTTATTATAAAGTACCATAGTTGAGGGAAAATCATGAAGTTTTCTGATCTATGATGGTCTACAACAGTGTTAGGTGCAGTAGCCATTAAGTACTTCAACTAGACCAAATACCGTATTAATTGAATCACTTTGATTGGATCTTCTTATCTAGTTTTAGTTTTCAATTATTATCATTGAGATTCATTTCTATAAGCTTTTCTATAAGCTTTATATGATGAAATATATCGTGCATTACATTTTGTGCAGTGTTCTTTACACATTTGAGTTGTTATTTTTTTTCACATCTATCTTTGATTACCTTTCATCTTTTGAAATGGGCAAAGATCACAATATCAGCACTATATGGTAGAAGAGAGATTTCAAGTGAAATTTCGTACTATGTGAGAATATATGTCACGTTGTATCTTAAGGTAGAAAATTGAACCAGTGGATTCATATTCAGACGATCTTAATACTTATTAGCGTTAAGCTAACATAATCGATATATTCATGTTAATTTATATTCAATAGAGTCGTTGGCTAGACAGACATATCAAGATTGCCATGACCCAATATCGATGATCAATCGAAATATTCAAGGCTTGGTAAAGAAACATAAAACAAGCTTATATATCCCCAAACCTAACATGGGATTAATAAAGCATAAAATGTAGAGTCTCCATTTACTAAATTAACCATAAAAAATTAGTAATTGGAGATTAAATGACCGATACAAAATGTATCGGTTTTGGAGTTTTGGCATTTATTCAAAAAAAAAAAAAACAAAGAAAGATGAAGATGAAACGACATGGCATCGCTATTTACCAATCCTCGCACAGAAACTGAAACGGTAGAGAAGAACGTTGATCAGAAGGTGAACGCGGCTATGCTGCGCTTGAACTCACGTTGAGCTCTCCTTCGAGTTCAACGCAGCATGTTGCGGTCGGTCGGAGAGAGAGCGAGTTGAGCTCTCCTTCGAGTTCCACGCAGCATGTTGCGGTCGGTCCAAGAGAGAGAGAGAGAGAGAGTTGAGCTCTCCTTCGAGTTCAACGCAGCATGTTGCGGTGGGTCCGAGAGAGAGAGAGAGAGAGAGAGAGAGAGAGAGAGAGAGAGAGAGAGAGAGAGAGAGGGTGAATGCGATGTCCTGATGATGCATCTTCGTTCCTGGTAATTCCTGTCAATCTTAGCAGGTTTTCATTAGCCTTATCGAATACTTATCAATATCAGTATGATGGATGATGATGCACAATCTGATTATGAGTCTCCGATTGCATTCTTAAAATGTCTAGATTCGTGAATGTATCATGCTTTGTTGCCTCACATTTGTCGTCCTGATGGTGTTATCTCTTGAGTTTATGCACTGGCAGTAGTGTTCTAGTTTAACCAGACGAAGCCCGCATTGTGGTGTGCTCGTTCAAGTTGAGCTGTCTCGGTTTTGTTTCCGGGCGATGAATCGTTTTTGCCTTTTGCGATTGTATCTTATTCAGATTGCCTGGGCTCGGTTTTCAATGCTGGGAACGCGATGCGCTGCCCCGTTTGCCAGGTGCTGGAGGAAGGCGTCTGGAGGAGCTTCCCAACCAGAGCTCCTCGGAGATGCAGAGCAGGTGCCCGCGTGGTCCAGGAAGATGTGCAGGAGCCCCCTGTCCGAATGGTAATAAATAGTCAACCTTATATGCCTCGAGTTGTTTTGCGCCTTCATTTATGGGTTTCATGGGATCCTGTGAATTCATATTCTCCCTAATTCTACAATCTGCTATGACTATAGACTCGTGGCTTCTTTCCTTTTGGATTTGGATCTTGGCTTTGCTAGAGCAGTTTGATAAGTTACAGTTGAAATTGATGGGATGGGGGCAAACTGTTGCCCTATTTCGCATATTGTGTATTGTGGATTGAGTTATCGCTATGACTCTGCTCACTGCACTTGAGATTTTAAATTTCCTAGACTTTGTGGTGGAAAGAAATCACATTTTCCTAGTTTCATGAGCTTTGTCTCGTTCTTCTCATAATGAGCTTGAGTTGATCTGTTTTTACCTGTGGAAGACTGGGACTGGGGAACTGTATACTTTCGGAGTGGACTGCAAATCAGCCAGAGTTAAAATCTCTTCGGTCCTTCTCTATTCAATGAGCTCTCCAACGTATAATCATGCAATTTTCAGCTCTGTCGAGCTCTTTGCTCCTCCTATCTGTTTTGCTCTCTGTCTTCTTAGGATGTTGTTGCATTCCAATTCGACATGATGAAAGGCCACATGTATGTGAAGGAAATTACTCGTTCACATCGAAGATGGGCCCTATTAAACTAAATTAGCAGTTAAGGGGCTTAACTGACCAACTGTAAGTTGTGACAAGTGCAAGGGCAATTTTGAGCACCTTGTTGATACATAAACAAAAAAAAAAAAAAAATGAAAGGTAGAGAGAACAATGACAAGAGAAAAGGCAAAACGTGAAAGGGTTGTTCCTTTCCTTCAAACCCTTAACTTTTAAGCGTTCTGCGTGTTCGCATGATATCACTACGGCTTTCTTCGTTCTGGTCTGGATCATTAAGAGAGGTCAGTGAAAAGAGACCCTTTGATAGGGAGGACATGGATGAGATCTATTATGGAGCATGCGGAATGGGCTTGGATTTGGGAAGGAGTTTAAAGATGTCTACTGAGGAACAAGCTGGCTTTAAGAAAAGGATGAAGTAAGGTTCTTGAGGAATCTAGCAGGTTTGAGGACTTGAATAGTCCAATTTTGTCCCTGCTGGTCATGTTAAATTGCTTTACACATCGATAACACTAGGAGAAGCTTTCACCGTTGGATATCTTTCTTTGGCCATTTTTACGTTGATAACCTGATCAATTTCCAATATCATTATGTGAGATGGGATTGGCTCATTTTCTTTCTTATTTGCTCGTTGGACTTTTGGAAACATTCAATAGCACTATCAATCAAAAATCTGTTTCTCTTGTTGGAAATATAATTTAACCAGAGGCTACTCATTCACGATATAGATATATCTTGAAGATAATTTCGAGGGTTTCCATCTTTTGTATTTTGATTTGTGAAAGGAAAAATTGTACTATATAGGCACTGAGGAGGTGCAGATACACATTTTACAAGAGTGGAAAGACCAAAAAACAACCTTATTTACGTAAAAAATCCTTATATGAATAATACACATTCTAGTTGACCAAGCTTAATTCTAATTGTTTGGTTCCAAAGCAAAGATATCCATGTTACGGTTCGTACTATTAAGATATTCATGACCAAGAAGTATTGGATTATCTTACCAATAGGCCCTGAAAGGAGGAAGGAATGCTCGAATGCCAACAGGTGTCTGGAATGGAATGTAGGGAAAGTTATTGTCTCTATCAAAGCTTTTTCATCCATGAAAATCTTTATGCCATAGGGCTACTCCCTCAACAATCTTTTTGTTCCTTCTGTTCCAAATTAACCAAAATATGGGGAAAACAAAGATGGATATGTTCTTGTAGCAAGGTGATCTGTGAAGTCCGAACCTCTTTCCATGACCAATCTATCTCTTGGAAAACTTAAGTTGTGTAAATCTATCATGTCCAAGGGTAGTGTGGACAAAGGTGCACAGCAATTTGCGCTTCGCTTCGGTGAAAGGTCATTGTTTTGCCAATGTTACTCAAATTGCAATATCGGACAATGTTTTATAGGTAAAAGATGATCTACTAGCAAGGCACAAAGGAGGTGCCAACCGTATATAAAAAGAGCTCGAGAACCAAACAAGAGCTCTGCCTCAGTCACTAGACAATGCATCTACAATGTTGATCAAAGTGTTTACATCCGAAAGTAAGCTTCTATTATACCAAAAATGTAGGATTCTTAGCCAATTTTCAATAATTAAATTAAAAGAGGGTCCTCTCCTTTAATGATCCTCTTGTTCCACTCTTTACAAATCAAACAAAAAACAAAGAGTAGACAAAGAAATGTCAAAACCTTAATACTTTATTATTGGGAAAAGTGTCAAAAAAGTCCTAAACCTTTGGCATTAGTGCCAATTTAATCCTAAACCTTTTTTTGGTGCCAATTCAATCCTAAACTTTTTTTTGGTGTCAATTCAGTCCTAAATCTTTTGCATTGGTACCAATTTAGTCTTAAACTTTTTGCATTTGTGCCAATTCAGTCCTAAACCAATTTTATCTTTGTGTTAATTTAGTGGATGTCGGTTTTAGTTGGATTTTGCCGATGTGGATAATTTTAATAATATTTTAATATTTTTTGAATTTTTTTTTTATTTTTTTCCCCTCCCCTTCCTCCTTCCTCCAGCCGGTCACCGGACCGGCAATTGGCCAACATCGGCAAGGCTCGCCTCGGACTTCGCCCAGCCATGGTGAGTGGCTGGGCGAGGCCCGACCTTGCCAAATCGCCAAATCCGGCGAGGACTGGTCGGTGAGGTCGACTTTGCAGGCCTCTGGCCTTTGGCCGGTCGCCGGCCGGTCCGATGATCGGCTAGAGGAAGGAGGGAGGGGAGGGGGAAAAAAAGAAAAAAAGAAATAAAAATTCAAAAAAATATTAAAATATTATTAAAGTTATTCACGTCAGCAAAATCGGGCCAAAATTGGCCGGAAGGACTTAATTGGCACAAAAACAAAAAATTTAGGATTGAATTGGCACCAATATAAAAAGTTTAGGACCGAATTGGCACCATAAAAAGGTTTAGGACTGAATTGGTACCAATGCAAAAGATTTAGGACTGAATTGGCACCAAAAAAAGGTTTAGGACTTTTTTGAAGACTTTTTTGACACTTTTCCCCTTTATTATCTGTTGCAATTAAGCTCTTGTCATAAAGCTTGCAAAGCTCTATGTATTTTGTAGGGCTTTTATTCCCTAGGAAGATAAATGAGCTTACCCAGCAAGATACCCATTATGCGAGTGAAATTGGAGAAGTTACACATCCATATGATGATAAGATGGCTTTTTACTCTACTCGAGTGGTTCTACTATGATCAATGCTAATTGAATCAGATCTTGGGCGTATTCGAGGGGTTAAATGGGTTAGATCTCAACATGACTCATGTTTGGACTTATTAGTTAAAGAGGGTGGCAATATTGGACATGACCTATTTATGAGTCAATTGTCACGAATCACCAAATATGTCATTCCATGATACTTTTGACTCATCTACAAGGATCATAACGTGTTTTCGCCAAATAAATAATCAATCAATTGACTTTCTAAATTATAATTATGATGTCATCAATGAACATGAATCGACACAAATTACCATAAACGAACTCCTTTTTTTTTCCAAAGTGTCCGAAGGAAGAAAGTGTTATATCACTTCTTTCTCCTTTCTCACTTCTTTTGGCATACGTATAGATATTACATGATGATACAAATTTCTAAGCCTTTATGTAGTTTTCCAAACATCTCCATTTTTTATGAATGCATTGCACACTCTTGGTAATCTTGTCAGACCATACATGAAAAAAAAAAACCAGCTTTCACACAGTGACAACCGCTTGTTTATCTTGTTTAGCGAATCGAAGATGCAACTTTACGAATGTAATCGTCATAAAGGCAATCGGAGTCCTTTTCTACTTCTAATATACATTTTTCGGGTTAGCCTTAGTGTAGCAGTAAAAGGTTGCTCCACTGTAGTTGAGGTTACGAGTTCACATGAACCTACTATTTGGGAAACTAGAGATAGGTTGCGCATTTCAACTTCTCCTTAGACACTCAGTATGAAGAGCCTTGTGCATTGGAGCACTCTTTATGTTTCTAGATGCATTTTGTTCATCTATCACTTTGTCCTCAATTTAGTGTTTTTGTGAACTATAAATTTTATATAAGGAAAGTGCTCATCATTCTCTTCCTAGGTCTAGCTAGACCTAAACGTAGCCGGACCTTTTATATGCTAAAGTAGTATTATTTGCTAGAAGGATGCATTATGTATCTCCTTGGATATGCTTTGGCTATTTCATGAAAGAATATGTTTGAAGTAATGCATTGCCGTCAAAAAACATGCACCTTAAAAAAAAAATCAAAGTAAGCCTTCAAGGTTGGCATGATTGGTTGGGGTGTCAGAAATTTGCAGCTTTAGAGTTGGAGATCACCCGTTCAAAGCCCGCCAATTGTGTGCAATCTGCTTTAGGTCAGGATTGCTTACAGAAACCAAAGGCCCGGACTTAGTCAGTTCATGGGGCTTGCGGGCCATTCCATGGGCTTCATGTAGCGAGGCTTTATGCGACTGTGCCCTTGAGTCATAAAATGAAATAGTCAAAGTACACGTGCCACGATGTTTGAAAAAGCAAAAAGTAAAAGTCACTCCAAACAAACTCTTATACAACCAAGAAGTCAATTTATTGCTTGGAAATTGTAGCGTAGGGGTATAATTTGTTCTTTGCCATTGTTACACTCTCTTATCCTACATCAACATTGACAAAGTTTGTCTTTCATTGTTTTCACTCTTGGGTGATAATTGTACTGTCATACCTGTGACATTGTCTAATAGATAGTTGTTTTCTCAAGTCAAATTTTTTGTTGATTTGTGCAGCAGCCACCACCATCTGGAATTTACTTGTCACGCCCCGAACCTTACGGCGCGCGAGCATCCCTACCATGGTCGATTCGAGTGCGACGTCCCAGGACGCGTCGCCGACCCAACGCCCAACACAGAGGTTTAAAGCACATGCGGAAGCAAATCAAACACCCGTACAGAACTATAACACCAAACCAAGGATAGCCACAAACGAGAACAAGATTACAAAATAAACACTTGTATTACTATGAGAAACCATATAAAATTTTCATATACAGCCCATGCTCAAAATCAAAAGCAGTTCAAGGCCACTACAACTAGCCGGGCTCCTCCCAAAACACTTCTGACGCCGCCATCCTCAAGGTCGGGGTCCGAAAATGTGGTTTAAACAACAATGAGAATAATCTCAGTGAGTAATTCCCTAAACCTAAACTAGGCTAACGTGCACCTCCAGAGGTAAATAAAACACATAAATCATCGAACCAAGATAACAATCAATATAAGTTCACCCGGGCCCATAGCCCAATTCACTACTCCGCCATGCAGGTTAGACTTTTAATATCATTATAAAACATATGCGAGTAAATCGACCCAAAGGCCACGACTCTGAAGCCAACAACAGTTAAGCCGACCCGAAGGCCACGACCCGAAGGCCACAGTTTCTCCCGACCCGAAGGCCCGACCCGAAGGCCACAATTTATCTCGACCCGAAGGCCCGACCCGAAGGCCACCGTTTATTCCGACCCGAAGGCCCGACCCGAAGGCCACCGTTTATCTCGACCCGAAGGCCCGACCCGAAGGCCAACAGTTTGATAGAACGACCCTTAGGCCCTTAGGTGATCACACAACTCATTATTATTCGAACCCGCCGTAAAAACGCCGGGTATTTAGGTGATCACAATGCACATGTCACTCGAGCACACTTGTAAATGCGCATGCCGTGCCAATGCTCGTGATGCAAACTCATGGCCATAAACTTCACACTCGGGCATTCACAATTTCACGATGGATATTCAATAGCACAACGCCAATTAATTAATTCACAATGCACCATGTCCAATCAACATTTCAATATGCCCAACCCACATATTAGCACGACCATGAAATTCAATTCAAGCACTCATGCACGGTACACAATTCACGCGTATAAATCACACAATCAGATCAGCATGAATCCACAGAAATTGAGGCCCATCACATTACTCCCTTCCTGATAGCATTAGGCACATGTCATGGTACTACAAAATCACTCGCATTTAGGGACAATTCAACTACTAGTTCGGTCAATCCATCATTTCCGGCACTTACACTCCAAACCTCAATTCAATCGCGCCTTGTCCGACTAATTTCCAAAGTGGACAGCCGCTAAATCAATTGCGCCGGGCCATTTAATGACCTCAAAATGTTCCACTAAACTCCCCAAGACACCATTTTAATCAGCCACCATAATGCCAAATAAGATGCGCACTAGAATCCACATTTTAAACCCGAAACTTCCCAAACTTGGGCTAATCCGATCCAAATCTGTCCAGCCAATACTCGGCGCTTCTCAAGCTACTAAACCTCCATTTATTTATCGCACTAAGCCCGTAGAACAGCCACCAAAACAGCCACCACCCGGTCTATCAATTTCATCCACTAAGTTCGTCATTTTGTCTAAATCTCGGCACCCATGCTTCGCCACATCACAGCACTATACGGGCCGCTAAACCTCGAATAAAACATTACGCTAAGCCACCAAATACGCCACAACATCCGCTCTTAACAGCCTTTGCAAACTAACCCCCAAATTGATCGTGCCTTATCCAATTCAAATCCGATAAGGACAGCCACCAACAGGTCGCTCTAGGCCACTAATTATCCTCAAAACGCTCCATTTGACTCTCCAAAATAACACCCAAATCCGTCACCACGTGGACCAAACTAGGCGCGCTCTATAATCCCCAATTGAACCCGAATTAATCCGAACTCGGGCCTATTCAATCCAAATCTGTCCAGCCCATATATCGCGCCTTTCGGGCTACTAATTCTCCATTAGTTCATCATACTAATCCACCAAATCAACCACAATCACAACCCCTAATCACCTCCACCATTTAATCCCCAAATTGCCCTAATTAACCCGTAAAACCCGTTTAGAAATGCAAATTATCCTAATTAGGGTTTAGGGTCAAACTCACCGGGTGTCCTAAGCTTGAAACGGGCCAAACACGCGACGAAAAAGGGCTGGGCAGCGGCGGTCCCTCGCCGGAACAGTAACGGCGGTGGCGGCTTCGGCGAACGGCGCGAGCGGCGGCGACGGCCTAAGCTAATCCACGGCCTAGAGAGGGAGAGAGAGGCACGGTCAGAGAGAGAGAGAGGGAAATGGAACGGCTGGACGGCTGGGCGAGGCGACGGGTCCGCGCCGGAACAGTGACGGTAGCGGCGGAGCTCCTTCGGCTCAAGGCCTCTCACGGCCAAACCGAGAGAGAGAGAGAGAGAGAGAGAGAGAAGGAGAGGGGGCTTGCCGGCTGCTTGGGGGAGAGACAAGGCGGCGACCAGCGGCACCGGAGGCGGCGACGGCGACGCGGGGCCAGCCGGCGAGCCGGCGAGCTGCACCGGTGAGCTGCGGGCGCGTCGCGAGCTCGCTGGCCGGGACGACGACCACGACGGCTCGGCTGGGCTGAGCGACGGCGACCCGCGGCAGCGGCGGCGAGCTGGCGACGGAGCGGGGCGAGGCGGCCGGCCGGGCAGCAAGGAGAAGAAGCAGCAGCGTCGGGCGAAGGGGGTAAGAGCAGAACCAGTCGGGGTCGTGGGGGAGGAAGAAGGAAGAGAAGAGAGAAGAGAGAGAAGAAAAAAGAGAAAAGAAAAAGGAGGAGAGAGAGAGGGAGTGGGTGAGTGGTCTGACTTGCAGAGGGGAAAACGTGACCGGAGGGGGGGGGGAGAACGTGCGCGGTCAGAGGAAAAAAAGAGAGAGAAGGTGAAAATAAAAGAAAATATTTGAACATTCAAATATTATTTGCAATCCGATGGCCCAAATTAAAAATCGAAAATGGTCTACCGGTCCAAAATAAGCCTTCGCACATAAAAAGGACAGCGCCAAATTAATTGAATCAAACTATAACGAGGGAGGCCTACTAGTCCAAATTCGCACGTGGTCAAAAACTCCACTTTTTCCATCATTCATGACAATCTCAACGTTGGCTACCACAATATTGACACCGTCCAATTTATTTTGTCCCGAAACTCCCGAAATTTGACTGCCAAGTTCGGGATCCAAATAACGGCCAAATTTGATCGAGTGCGATTCTAGCGAAATCTCTAATTTAAAATGATAACCGGGAGTGATCAGTTCCCGGGCGAGATTTTACTATAAGCACACTGACAAATTACGCGTTTTATAAATCCCAAAAATGGGCCGAAATTCGGGATGTTACATTACTGGAGCCTTGATCAGGGATCGTAAGTGTGGATTTTCCTTGAGCTTGCAGAATGTTTACTTTTGCCATGTCTGTAAGAAGAGTAAATGCTTGTTTTTACGATTAACGGTTACTATCTCTTATATATTTTTGTGGAATCTTCATTGTTAATTTTCTTTTCCTTATATGTCAATCCTTGGTTACATGATAAAACTAGCGCTACATAGACCTTAAGCTTCCTTCTTTGGCTCTGCAGCAACTTTCTTAAAGTAGACAATTTCTCCAATTTTCAATCTTCTATACCTGGTATACTATTCCTGCTTATCTTGATGATCTTCAATAACAAAGGAAAATTGGAGGAATTACTAGATATTGGATTTGCAATGATGGAAATACCCAACTTGTACTGAATATAGCTACGTGTTCGGTTTTGGTACTCTGATTTATGTGATCATCAGTTACTATTATTGAGTTTTGGACCTTTTGGAGTATACGTTGTTAACACATGATGCATTAGCAGATGTTCATTGTTTTTCCTCCTGTTTTAAGTTTCTCGAGTTTCCATAGAAAGCCAGTTGGGTGCATCATTGTTGCCAGATACATTTTGAGTTTATTATGGACAAGAACATGAATAATTTGTATCTGAACTCTTCTCAAAATTGTTTGATTGTCGTCAGGCTGTGAGGTCCAAATAGGAACCTTTCGAATAGTTGTCACCTATTCCGTGAAGAAGTTATAGAAGTTTAGAAGTTTTTGTCCCATCTCTGGATGGATTTACTGCAGGGGTCCTATGGTGGAGTGGGCAGTGAGTTCGTGGCTGTCTCGTATTTGATAGGTCCAGGCTCTTGAACGGATTGAATATTATGCCATAAATAAAGGTTCTCTCTAGGATACAATTCAGCGTGAAATTTTATTTTAGAGGAGCAATTTCCACATTGTAATTGAGGTTATATAAAATAAATGCCATCGTAGTGCTAAGCTGCTAGCAAATTTGTTGGTTTGGGGATCTTGTTTTCCCTCCTACGATATCACATAATTTTGCAGCTTAGCTGATCTCCATCTGGACTCTTTTGTTAAGTAACAAATTTTCTAGAACGCTTGTTTAGATAGGTGGCCTGTCGATGTGCCAGGAAAAACTAACTGGAAAGAAGTCCCTTTTAGGTCATTACTATTCGTTATATTACTTTTACATGGTGATCAAGGTCTTTATAAAAGGATGCATCAGATTACGCAAAAAAACGTACGGATGTTTAAGTCTAGCGTTCTTCATCAATACTCAAAAGAAAAGGGCTGATGTGCAGACGGAATGAAGTATATGTAGGAGGCAAGACTGCTAGTTCAAGTTCTTATTATTTTTGCTTCATTTTTTTCCTTCTTATTGGCTTTCTTAGCACATTGGCGTTTTTTATTTTGCCAAATGAAATGCAGTTAAACTGTGGAAAGTTTTCATTGAAGTAAGTAGTCAGGAAAGAAAAAGTAACTAGTGTGTTTTGCCAGAATAAAGTAAATGGTTGCAAATTAACATAAAGAACATCAGAAATGCAGCATCTCTTCTTAGATATACTTGTTAGTCTGATGTTGTTTCAAGTGAATATATTTTCTTTTTATTAGGAGTTAGAGAGGTCATGTGTGGCATGTAAGATGTGATCAAACGCATAGTCATTAGTCTTGATCATTGGTTGGATGAAATATAGCCTGTATTTGCACTGACTACATTCTATTTTATGATTTTTTTTATATGGAAAATATTGCTTAGTTCTCAACCTGCGTGCTCCAGGCAAACTTGATCTGCGTCTCGGACTTTTATTTCGGGTTTTTCCTTTTGGTTCAGACTAGTCATTTGACACTACCAAAATAGTTATGATGTGTCCATTCAGTGGTTTCGAGAACTAAAAGAATAAACATCATTATTTAGCTAATTGAATTAGGCTACCCTGCTAGTCTTCTGTTTCTTTGCTTTAAAACTCATCTTCCTTATATAGTGTTCTCTCCTTTCCACTTACAATATCTTTTACTTATGCAGGTTCAGCGGATCTCTATCTCTTGGAAGTAAGTTTTGATGGGCAGTGTGCTGATGAGTGTGTTACCTTTTGGTGGGATACTAATGAAATGCTATATTTTGCAGATGGCGGTCCTATCAGACACCCCAACTCCTTTCAACGCCACCATAGAGAAACCGCCCATATGAGGATGGGTTCATTTAACGGTTCTGGTCAGGTCTCAGCGTCATCTCATGTGACAAGGATCACTCATCTTCATCTTAGCGTCAACAGAAGGCCGGATAATGGATATTCATTTCAGGGTAATGTTGGGCCCAATGAACACTATGATCCATTTCCTCAAGAGATGAACAGCATCCAACCTGTTAGACTTGAAGCACCAGATGTTGCATTCTTGGGGGAGCCCATTTTCAATAACAGGTAAATAATCATCAAATTAGAGGCTCCACCGCGTACCCAAAAACATCCTCCTCATTAGTGATTGGTAGAAGAACAGATGCTGTACTTAAGTAGCACTCTTGCATTACTGCCCTTCTTCCTTTTTCTTTTCTCAGCATGATTTTGTTGGTAAAAAATATCATCAACTCACAACTCAAAGGTAATGGTCTAATTCTGTTATTGGTTACACTTTGTCCTTTGGAGACCCAGTGCCGGGAGCTTATTTGGACACTTAGCTGGTGCATCTCCTGGGGGGCAGTCAATGAATTTACCATCTTCACCAGCGCGGGCCATGATGCCTGCTGCAAACAATCGTTCCAGCTCAAGTGGCCTGCTACCAGCTGAGCAGACGGCTTTTCAAGCTGAAGGATCTGGAACAGTCAACATCGAGTCACCCGACATTGGTGAAGTGGTGCTGGCTTTAAGTGCGGATGTTCCTCCGGTAGATGGAATAGATGGTTCCGAGGATATTATGTCAGATGGCGAGCAATCTGTTGAGGACCTGTCAGAGTGATCGGACAGAGGAAACCAGATGGAAGTTCTGTTTCTGAACTGATCTCATCAGTATGGTGGGGTAGTGAAGAAGCAGCCTGGGCGAATAAATGATGTCCTGAAGTTGAAGATTGTGGTATGGACGTTAATAACAATTCGATGCGAAAACTATATATGCTTCGTTTATGGTCGGCAATAAGTCCCATACCTGGGAATTTCTCGTTTATTTCCATAATGCTGCTCAGCTAAATGCTGAAACTCCGCGATGCTTTAATGTCTTTGAGGAGAACATTAGTGAATTTCAATAGAACTTGCTGCTTTCGTGAAATTCTTGATAAATCATTTCTTGCTGCCTAATCGCCGTTCGGAATAGATCTCTTCAGCATTTTCCGTTGAATGAAGTTATCCGGTTAGAGATTCTCACTTCAATATTGTTTGATATACTAAGATCGACTTAAATAAGTAATGTACTAAATGACGTAGCGTATTTGTATGAGTAGTCAGTATTATTCACTTGTTATTTTTTCGGCTATCCGGTCTATACTTTTGTAGACCAGTGTCAGTATATATAGCACCATTCATTTATTTTATTTTTCGTTGTGATACTTTTGTGATGGCTAAAAAGCCCATTCGAGTAATCATTTGAAAGGCATAGCCTTACCTTAAATTGATCACTGCAAACTAAACTCAATCAATTTATTTTGCGATAAAAAATTAAGTAAATTGATGGTGACGCAAAATCAAAATAATAGTTTTGATTGGTTTGAAATACTTTCACTTTCGAAATCACGAAACGCGTCATATGTTTTGCTTGACCTCATTATGCCTAAATTACGCAGTTGTATGTGGAAAATTTTAGAGTTTTGAAACTACATATTTTCTTCCATTCAAATGCATTATTCACATTAATTGTTATGGATTATGTTCAATGTTCAAAGGATACAATAATGGCATTTTTTTTTGTCACGATTGATAATATGGAAAGTACCTAAAAGAGTCCAACTCATATTTCACTCTCTAAATTGGGCAATTTAGTTACTGCACCCTGATAATGGAAAATCCAAGCCCAAGGTATGTTTTGAAAATCATTGAGTCTCAAAATATATCCAAATTTCATTGAGATTATTAAATCAAGCCAAATCATATAGTAAAAAAAAGACAAGACTTCCTTTACTCCCACCGCAAAACACAAGCTTATTTTACCGTTCTTGTGGTTCGTTCTATGATTCAATCCACTTAATAGTCTATGTAATTGGTAAAAAAAAAATTCACTTTCGGCCTATTGGTTCAACAATTCCAATTTCTAATGGCCAATTAGTGCACATCGTGTGGGAAACGAGCTTTGTTATTCTCAAATCAATCAAAGAAGTTGTTAGATGAGGATATTATATGAGTCAAATTAAATTCAATCCATTCAAGTTGAAGGGTCTTATCTCATCTATCGATCCGCTAGATGAGAATATTATATGAGTTAAACTAAATTAAAATCATTGAAATTGATGTGTCATATCTCAGCTGACGGTTCAAATTTAGTTTAATATATAAACCATAGGTTAAATGAGTAATTTTCTTTTGCATTGAATGCCCTTCCACCCATGGCTTCCTGCCAAGCCAAATCATGCATTCCTTATGGAGTTGCCTCATTCTCTAATTACCATCATTGTGATCCCCCCTCGATTTACATATCGTCCCCCTCTTTCATTCTCACATCTTTCTCTCTCTATCAAAACCCTAGCAAATTCAATGTTGTCCTTTGGCCTAGCCAGACATATCAAGCTTACCATGACTCAATCAAATTCAATGGTGTCCTTGGCCTAGCCAGACATATCAAGCTTACCATGACTCTATAGATGATCACAAGGTCATAAGGGATTTGGGTTTTGAAGACCAATATCAATGACATGATTTGAAACTTTGTGATGAATGGCCAAGTGACATAAATGATTGCAAGACTCATGTTCTTTGATTGGTTGCATTGTTTAGACTTACCCATGACTGTTCTGTCAAATTCACATCGAATAATTATTTATAGATTCAAAAAGTAAAACTATCTATATTAATCAAAGGTAATACTAGTCACGTGACTTAGATTCATCAATCATTGTGAATGCGAGATTTAATTCACGCAACTTGATTGCATTGAGCTATTGTTGTGGCGAGTCTAATTAACTAATTGTTGCTAGATCTAGGTTGGGAAGACATCAACCATAGTCAATATTGTTCCTTTTTTCTTTTCTCTCTCCACTTGCAATCGGAAACTCTTTTTGTCTAACAAAAATTGAAGATATAAGAAGCCTTAGTTTCTAGAATGACAAAACAGCCAAAATCGAGAAATTTAGGCTGTTATTAAAGATATGCATACTTTTATTTTAACAATCTACAGAAATTCTTTCACCATCTAATACAGTACCTGATCTTGACTGTCTTGGTGCTGGGTTTGTCTATGACAGCCATTGGAATCTCATGAGCCTAACAAATGTTCTCCCTCAGTCAATTTTGTTGCGGATCGAGTCTATGCTACCACCTTCAAACTGTGGTGGTGATGACTTATTGATTTGGGGTAACAATAGCGATGGCTCTTTTAGTGTCTTGTTTCATGAAGTTTTTCAAACTTCAAACTGATGTGTGCCGTCTTTTTGTTGTTACCTGTCGAATATCTAAATTCGATCCTATCAACGATACAAGAAAGTAATGGAAATTCGCACAACACAAGAATTTACGTGGTTCAGCAGGGGAGATGTTCCGCCTACCTACGTCTACGGGGAGATGAGATCCGTTTCACTAATAACGTAGAAAAGTGTACAGCCACTCTTTTCACACCTTGCTCTCTATGTTTACAGACCTGTTTCGCCCTAAATATATATAGCGAAACCCTACATGGCACAAATTACAAAGTTGCCCATATAGCCTAAAATATTTAACTTTCCCATATAAATCCTTCTATGACTGAACATAAAACGTCTCTGGCGGCCCGGGGGCGCTACCCCCGCGACCCCTGTGCTGTCCAGTTGTCAGGGGGTCTTTCGGAACCGTTTCATAATCTCTTGGATAACAGAATACAATACATCAACCTCAACATTACCCTACAGACACATGCACGAGTACATGTAGGTTTGTGCCCAAAAATGTGCCTGCTCGACTAAAACCGTATAGATCTACATGAAATACATGTGGACTTGCGTTTTCATGCATTTTTTGTTGTGGGTGTTTGGTATTGTGGATGGTATAGGTAGAGATTATCAATTCTTCTTTGATGTAATACGTGAGGGTTTTGATTGGAAATCAAAGATGCTAAGTTTTGGCCAATTAGATATAGGACTACTAGTAAATCTTAACTTAGTGAGTCTTAACTGAATCTTTCTCTAAAACTACATTTAGCAAACCATGCTGTTAGATAAATTTTCAAAGAAAAACAGTTGATTTTTGCGAAGTTTGCATTGTTTGTCTTATGTATGAAGTCTTGGGGTTCTTTGTTTTAATGAAAAAAAAAAGAAAAGAAATTAGAGGAGGTTACTTTTCAGCCGAATAAATAAATTGTTGATGTGTTCAAATTAAAAAGAGTTAACCATTTTTATGAATAGCGCATATAGTTGTAATAGAGTTACTGTTACTTCCTTTATTTTGGGCTTTTATCATAAATCAAACCCGATCGTGATTTTCTTGATGGTAAACATATGGAATATTAAGGTCAAGTTTTCAAAAATAAAAATCATCCACTATTTTCCAATAAAGAGTGTATATAGCTGTGATAGAATTTTATGCATAAGAAACTTTTTTCTTGACATAGGGTTATATGCTAAGCTTGTGTCAAACCAAATTGCCAGTATTCTTATGAGTGATATTATAAATTGACACTTATACATACATACCGAACAAAACATATGATGCAAGCACTTGTATTAACTATATGGTCTGTGTACTTCTTTTTTTTACCGAGTACATATCCATCACCAATGATCGAGACAATTTGATTTGTAGCAATTTACTAACTATCCACATCATTAGTGATGGATGGGGATGTGTAGAAAAGTCAGTACCTAATATTTTCTTATTAAGAAATACCATAGTTAAGGTAAAATCAAGAAGTCTTATGATTGATGGTGATTCACAATGGCGTTGGATGCAGAGGCCATTTGAAACTTCAACTAGACCAAGTATCTTATAAATTAGATCACTTTGATTGTATTAAGCATATCTTTGTATCTAGTTGTCGATTATTTTCATTGTGATTCCTTTGTATAAACTTTTTATGCTTACCCGGTGGCATTGGTCTTGTACCCCACCACCCCGAGGAATAGTCCATTGCACGTGGGATACCTCGGTTGGGATACCTCGGTTATCAAAAAAAAAAAAAACTTTTTATTTTGATGTGCATCGTGCATTACATTTTGTGTAGTGTTCTTTATACAATTGAGATTTTTTTTCATCGCGTTAATGAATCTCATATCTTTGGTAACCTTTCATCTTTTGTAACGGGGAGAGAGACATATCACAACATCAGCACTACACGCGAGAAGAGAGATTTTAAGTGAAGTTTCTTGGCGAGTGAGAATATATTTCGCATTCTATCTTAAGGTAGAAAATTGAACCTCTCAATTCATCTTTAGACAATCTTAATACTTACTAGCGCTGAGTTGACATAATCAATATATTTGTGTAAACTAAAATTCAATAGCGCAGTTGGCCTAACAAGACATATCAGGATTGCCATGACTCGCCCCAAACAAAGGGAACCGGTGGACTTTGCTCTATCCCAAGATCCCCAAATTTTGGTTTTGATTGAGCACAAAATAAAAGAAGATAATGCTGATTTTGTTATTGATAGTAGCTTCCGAGGATGGAATTATACTCATAACTATATGTGCAGTAGCCTGGGTAGAATATGGATCCTATGGAAACAATCCATCCTTAGTATAACAATGTTGGAGGTATCTGCCCAAGTAATACATTGTCTCATTGAAAAACCTAGGGTGGATTCTTTTTTGATGTTGGCCATCTATGGATACAACACTGAAGTGGAACGAGGGTCCCTATGGCGCAACATTTCAAATTTCTCTATCGGACATACTAGAAACCTACCCTGGTTGTTAATGG